AGGATCGCCGGAGCCCAGCAGGTCGAGGCTGCGGTGGCCGGGAGCGGCCACTGCACTCCAGTCGGGGCGACAGAGTGAGACTCCAATTCAAAAAAAAAGAAAAGATGGGCCACCTGTCCCTGGTTCTTCTGTCTCTCAGGGGACATTCATTCATTCATTTTCTTTTTCATTCAACAAATGTATCCTGTGTGCCTACTGAGTGCTGGGCCCTGTTCTAGCCCTGGCATGTGACAGATCCCTGCCCCATGGACTGCATATTCTTATATTCTAGTGACCAGACACTATAGCAACTCCCGCTACCTGCTGACCGGGAGTTTCAAACATGAAGTGCAAAATGCTTGTATTCTGAATGCATGGAAGCAGCTGTCTTGTTTAACTTTCTGTGACTTCATGGCTAAGATAGACTCTTTAAAAAACCCAGCTCATTATTAAAGGCAACTTATAGCATAATTTTAAAAACCAGCAGAACAGTGAAATGAACCCCCCCCAGCATCCGCCTTCCAGCTGCAGCAATTAGCTGCTCACGGACGGGCTTGTTTCATCTATGCCCGCATCTCTTTTCCTTATTATTATTATTTTGAGTTGGAGTCTCACTTTGTCACCCCGACTGGAGTGCAGTGGCCACTTCCAGCCACCACAGCCTCGACCTGCTGGGCTCCGGTGATCTTTCCGCCTCAACCTTCCAAGTAGCTGGAACTACAGGTGCGCACTACCACGCCCGGCTAATTTTTTAAAATTTATTGTAGAGATGAAGTCTCGCCAAGTTGCCCAGGCGGGTCTCGAACCTGCGGGCTCAGGCAATCCATTCGCCTCAGCCTCCCAAAGCACTGGGATTACAGGCTGAGCCACTGAGTCCAGCTGTTTCCTTATTATTTTGAAGCAGATCATAGCGATCATTTCAGGTCGATTTTTTTCTTTTAAGCAATACCTCTTAAAATCCTGCTGTAAGACGAATCCACAAGTCTGTGAGGCTGTGGGTTTTGTGTGTGCAGCAATGTTCTGTCTGATTTTTGCACCCCCCCTTTTTCTTCCTTTCTCTTCTGAGCAGTGTTTTATGGGACATATTTTGCGACTTTTAAAAAAATTAAACTGAAACAAGACAAAACTTTGTTTACCTGCTACCTCTTGAAACTTGGAGCAAAGATATTTGGCAAATCCACCTGTGGGCAGGACACACCAGTGCTGTCAGTGTTGCATTGTGTTGAGATTCACATCATCTGAAAGCTCTGGAAAAGTCTTCTATATTATTCTGGGGATAAGTCAGCCTTCTGTCTCATGTTGTTGGCACTGTCCTTCAGTTTCTGGCCTCTGACAGATATTTGGTCCTATGGAGCAACTGAAATAACTTCACTAAGTTTGTGTGACACAGCAAAAGGGATAAGGAGAAGCAATTCATTTTCCTTTAGTCTGAAGATTTGGAATTGGTTAATTCGAGTGTTCTTCGATGGGATGGCAGAAGACATACGGGGAGCCTGATACAGCTTCCCAGGAGCTGCTGGCCCCAGCACCCAGAGGATCCTTGTTTGTCTCAGCTCAACTCTGCTGAGGCTGCAGTGAGGCTTTCCAGCAGGCCAGCAAGACAGGGGACACCCAAGCATATGCTTCTAGCCATGTTGTTTTTACCGGCAGGATAGAGGGAGCAGCTCTGCCCAAAAAAAGAATTTGGAAGAATGAAATTAAAATGGTCTGGATAGCTTCCATTTCCCCTTTTTATTTCAGTTATGTTCTTGTTCTCTGAGACAGAGCTGAAGCCCGTTCCCCCTCCCTGGAAACTTTCAGGGCTGCATCCCAGAAAATGGAGACTGGCGCAGAGCCTTGTGGATGAGGGTGTGCAAATAGTGCAGGGATTTAGATTCTCTGTGGGCTCGTATTTTGACACACGGTGAAGCACAGGAAACGGTCTTTGGATTTTTAACACAAAAAGGCATGTCTGATCTGCTGGGTGCCATGATGCCACATCTGCTCAAGCAACTCCCTCTCTTCCAGCCTGAGTTTCCTTATCTCCAGATGAGGGCGGTGACCTGTGCCTGTCACTGTGCGGATGAGCTCACTTCACGCAATAGAGCATGGTCGCTACTGGTGTGCATGATACCAGTGTGCTTATGACCGTCACTTGTCTAACTGACTTTGCTCCCTGTGAGGGAGAGAGCAACTAAGTGTGACATATATGTTACATCTAATGTGTGATGTGTGACAGCTTCCAAAATGACTGTCTTTTTTTGTGCGTTTGTCTGGAGACGGCTGTTGTGGTCCTGTTTTAATGTAAGATCTTCAATATGCAAAGCAGTTCTTCAACGATGGGGAGAGACCCAGGATAGAAATGAAAACTGTATTACTTACAGGTCCTGGGGTTTCATGGCAGGCCCGGAGGCCACACACACAGGTCAGGAAGCACAGGGAAAGAGAGGGAGAGGGAAGGAGGGAGAAGGAGAAGAGGAGGGGGAGGGAGAGAGGGGTGCCCGTGGGCTGCTGCCTTCTTTGGGGACCAGGGTGCCATCCAAACAGGTTTTCCTGCAGAGACTTTTGACTGGGGAAGGGGTTACAGCCACAGGCCTCACACTGTGACTGGGGTGGGGGGGCGCTGTGGCACATCTGACAGTCTGCTCCGGGTGTAGGGTCAGCAGGGCCAGCCAGGTAAGCTGTAGGTGGCTCTCCCACAGGGAGGTGGTTGCCTAGGGAGCCGTTGCTCTCTGGATAGACCACATTTGGGAACTGGAACCGTGTCAAGGGTGACCGAGCCTGCTTCTGGTCTGAGAAAGGCCCATTGATATTTAGAGTGGATGCTGAGGCAACATGAAGTCATCACCATTCACTGTGCCCTGTCTAGGAGAATGTTTTTCTCAGTCACTCTTTTACCTCTTCAGAACGATGTTTTGCTAATCTCTGCCTGCAAAATCCTGCCCATCTTTCAAGTCTGGCTCGAAAGTGAAGTTTCTGCAAGTTATTGTTCTTCCCAAGATCTATTCCTGCCTTTGGCATCACTCAGAACAGTCTTCCTCATCATAAAGTTGCACACGTACTTTCTTTTAGAAGATGCAAGCCATTTGGGGGCCATGGCCCCTTTGTGGATGGGGTTGAAGATACAGATTTGGAAATTACCCATGAGGGTGAGAATTTGAGTGGTGGGATGGTAAAGTGACAGTTGGGTTGTACAGGGACGCGTGGCAACCCAAGAATATGATCGTGCTTCAGGAATGGACTTAGAAAAGGACCCAGAGAACGTGGATATAAAGGAATGGCCAGAGAAAGAAAAGAACACCGGATAAAGCCCTTGGAGAAACTAAGAAAGAAAAGAGTTTAAAGGAGGGGTGTCCACAGTGCCAATTGCTTAAGTCAGAGAGGCTGGGTGCGGTGGCTCAAGCCTGTATGTAATTCCGGCACTTTGGGAGGCCGAGATGAGAACAGCCTGGGCAACTTTGTAAGACCTCATCTCTAAAATAAATCAAAAAATTAGCTGGGTGTGGTAGCGTGTGCCTGTACTTCTGGCTACTTGGAAGGCTGAGGCGGAAGGCTCACTTGAGCCCAGCACCTTGACGCTGGAGTGACCATGACCATGCCACTGCACTCCAGCCTGGGCGACGGAGTGAAACCTCAACTCAAAAAAAAAAAAAAAAAAGTCAGAGAATGAAGTCTAAAAAATGGATGTAAAAATTAGGTCAGTGGACACAGCAGGATCAAGGCATCTTATATTTTAAAATTATTATATTATTATTTTGAGTTGGGGTCTCACTCTGTCACCCAGACTGGAGTGCAGTGCTGCAATCATGGCTCACCACAGCCTCTACCTTTTGGGCTTAAGCAATCCTCCTGTCTCAGCCTCCAAGTAGTTGGAACTATAGGCATGTGCCACCATGCCTGGCTACTTTTTTGCTTTTGTGTAGAGACAAGGTCTCACTATGCTGCCCAGGCTGGTCTTCACCTCCTGGGCTCAAGCAGTCCTCCTGTCTCAGTCTCCCAAAATGCTGGGATTACAAGCACGAGCCACTGTGCCCAGCCTTAATAATCTTTTTTTCTTGAGTTGTTGTCTCACTCTTGTTGCCAGACTGGAGTGCAGTGGCATGCTCACAGCCACCGCAGCCTCGACCTGCTGGGCTTAGGCAATCCTTCCGCCTCAGTCTTCCAAGTGGCTGGAACTACAGATGCATGCCACCACATCTGGCTAGTTTTTGTGATTTATTGTAGAGACGAGATCTCACCAAGTTGCCCAGGCTGCTCGAACCCCTGGGCTCAGACAGTCCTCTCACTTCGGCCTCCCAGAATGCTGGGATTACAGGCTGAGCCACCTTGCCCGGCCACCTTCATGCATTTCTAAATCTTGGAATTTAATCTCTGGAGCAGGAAACCAAGGAAGGTTTCCCAAGAAAGGAATAATAGGGGCAGAGTGACATGACTTTGGTAGATGCTGAGCCTCAAGCCCTTTCCGCAGAGGGATGGAGCCCCGGGGGAAGGAAGCAGAGGCCAAGACAGGAGAGGGCAGAGGACGCTCCGCGGACGGGTGCCTCTCCCAGCCTTTCGCCTCCCTCCCAGCTCAGGCCTTCCTCTCCGCCCCCCCTCCAGCGAAGGGTCTCGTTCCCAGGCAGCGAGTGCAGCAGTGAGCTCACGTCTCGCCAGTGGCTGGCCTCTGCCCTTCGCGGGTGTTTGGCGTGTCAGGGCCCGTGGCCGTGTGCCGGGACTCTCACCCTTTCCACAGCTGCAGATGGAAGCGCGTCCAGGGGTGGGCGGAGAATGCCCTGGAGAGTCAGGCTGGTGGTGCAGCTTGGCGGAATGTATCCAGGGCCAAGGGCAGTGTTGGTCCCTGAAAACTTCCGCGTTAAAGAAACAAAGGAAACACTACCTTTTTTTTAAGTTTGCAAAGAATTTCTTACGGGGTTCTTCACCTTTTTTTAGATAGAGAATTCCAAATGTGAATGTGGCTAAACTCCTCCTAGAATGGGGCTAAGTTCCCAGGCTAAGTGAAGAGCCCTGAAGGCGTGTCTTGAATCCTGTGCCAGCACTTAGCTGGTCTTGGGAGGCGTGTTCTGGCCTCCTTGGCCGTCGTTCTCCCCTGTGTGAGGTGGGGATACTCAGGCCCACTTTGCTGCAGCCGTGAAGGGCAAAACTTAGCTGGTACGCCTGCCCATAGTGGAGACTCCACCAGAGTGATTCCTGAAGTGCTTTCTGCCTCTTCTCACGGCAAGGCTGGGGAAATAGCAGTTCTGATATCTGGGAATGAGTTGGTGTCATGGAGCTAAGCTTTACTGATGCTTTTAGGGCTTGCAAGGGTTTTGGTAAACCTCGTTGAATATCTGTTTTTTGGACCTTAACATAACATGTTGCTGTGTTTCTGCTTTTCTTCCAGTTAAAGACTTGGAAAAAAGAAAGGAGCCGAAGCCCAGAGTCAAGGTTGTGGACAAAGGAAATGGGAGCAAGCCGTCATCACCAGAAGGTCCGAGACTGTCGTGAGCCTCTTGGGAGGGGATCGTTTCATCGCAGGCACGTCGCCTGCGCGCGGCTGCTGTCCCTGAAGGGTGTGCACCGCTCCGAAGGGTGCAGGCCTCACGGGAAGACCGCCCTGGGTCCCCTGGCACTCCTTCTTGACCCCTTAGCGTGTGATCTCTTCACCCCGGTCACCTTCCTGTGACGATACAGACACGTGTGTCCGGCCTGTTGTGCTGCGTTTCGTGTTCTGTGCGGTGCCTTTTCTTTGTCACTCCATGCTGGAGGCGGGCCGCCCTGTGGCAAACTGTGTGGGCGCTCCACTGTCCGCCCCTGGCACTCTTAAGCTTGAGCGCTTGCCTACTGGTTATCCAGACACCTACACCTCTATTTCTTCATCTGTAAAGTTGGAAAATAGGGTGCCTCGCAGAGTTCTTTGGGGCAAGATGCATGGCTAGACGTGAAGAGAGCTGCTGAGCACTGAGTATCACGGGGGATTACTGGCGGTCTCCCTCATTCCTTCTAAGGACTGATGGTCTTCTGTGTGACGGACAATTATAATTTATTGACTATTCCCCCATTGGTGGGTATTTAAGTGTTTTCTAATTTTCATGATCACAAACATGCTGCAGCAGCATATGTCCAATGGTGGAACTGCAGGGTTACATGATATGTACACTTAATTTAATCTAGTTAATTAATCGATTAACTTTTTTTTGAGACAGGGTCTTGCCTGTCTGGAGTGCAGGCTGGAGTACAGCCTCAAACTCCTGGGGATCTGCAAACTTGAGACTGCCAGATGGGTAGATAAATGGCAGGCTCTAGCTATCAATGTTGACTTAGAACTTCTTCGACAATTTATACTTTTGCCAACAATGTAGGACAGAGATTATTCCACATATTCTTTTCAGCATTTGGAAGTCCTCAATATTTGGAAAAAATTCCCACTACTTTTTTACATTTTATAACTAGTAAGGTTGAACATTTTTTCATATCTTTAGTAGCTGTTTGTATTTTTTCCTTTTCATTTTTTGCTTTGTGTTATCTTTTTCTTTAGTGAACGTATAGACACTTCCTAAATATTTTGGGTATGGAACGCTTTTCTATTATATTGTTATGTTTTTGCAAATATTTTCTCCTGGTGTGTCATTTGCTTTGAACCTTTATCTTTTTGATAAAGATTCATGACATATATGCTACTCTGAATTTTCATGTTTCTTGCTCTTGTAATTTTTATAAAATTTCAAAGCAGTTTTCTGTTTTTCTTCTAATAATGCATATTTTTATGTTTATTAAAGTTATTATTAGTTATATCAGACACAGAAACATGTGTAAAATAATATAATAAACACGTTTGTCCTGTTTAAGAAGGTGGACATGTTGCCACACAGTTGAAACGCACTTTTGCAGGAGGGAGGCCACCACCCACCACCCACCTGTCATTTCAACACAGGCCTTTATCATTTTACTTCATCTATATCCACGCATCCCTAAACCCTAGTGAATTATACAAAGTTTAAATTTTATGTACATTTTGTCATAACGGGTGTATACTTTTTTTCTTTTTTGAGTTGGAGTCTCGCTCTGTCGCCCAGGCTGGAGAGCAGTGGCATGCTCATGACTACTGCAGCCTCGACTTGCTGGGCTCAGGTGATCCTTCCGCCTCAGCCTTCTGAGTAGCTGAGACTAACAGGCACACGCCACCACATCTGACTCATTTTTTGATTTATTATAGAGATGAAGACCTGCTATGCTGCATATGCTAGTCTCAAACTCCTGGGCTCAGGCAGTCTTCCTATCTTGGCCTTCCAAAGTGCTGGGATTACAGGCTTGAGCCACTGCACCCAGCCTGGGTGTATGCTTTTGCAGCTTGCTTTTCAAAAATCTAATATTAGACTGTTTTGAGTTATCCATGCTGAATCATTTTCTTTGCTGTGTAGAATAGCGTTCCATTGGACAAATAAACCCCAAGGTATTTAACCCTTCTACTCTTGATGTTACCAAAATTTTGCTATTATTCATTTGTTATAAATAGCTTTGCTTATGTGTCCTTCTGCCGCATATGTGTATTTTCATAGTTCCTCTCTATGCATCTTTACATTTTTATATCTAATATTTACTTCCTTCTTTCTTATCTTTGCCTTTTTCTAAATTCTTGAATTGAACGCTTATTATTTTTTAATCTTTTTTTCTATTATATGGATTTTTAAAGCTAAAAACACTCAGGCATTGCTTGGGCTGCATCACGTACATTTTGATCTGTTGTACTGCTCTAATGTGACTCATGTTATTTTCTCATTTCCACCAGATTTTCTTCTTTGATCTATGAGTTACTTAGAAATATGTTATTAATTGCTGAACATCTGGAGATTTTGAAAGGATATGAATTTGTTACTGATGTCTAACTATTGCATTGTGGTCAGAGAACATGACATGTAGGAACATTCTTTGAAATTTGTTGAAGCATTTTATTACTTAAATGTGGTCATTTTTAAAAACCATTCCATGTGTCCTTGAGAAAATGTACATTTTAATCTCCCTCACTGATATTTGTCCTTTTCTGTTTGTAACTCTGGCAATTTTGCTTTAAATACTTATAGGCTAGATGCATAAAAATTAGAGGTATTATGTTTTCCTATTTAACATTGTATAATGATTCCTTTTATTCTTATTAATTCAGTGTTTCCCTCAAAGGCTATTTTGTCTAATATTAGTATAGCAGTAACCAACTTATTTTATTTGGTACTCACAAACTACATTAATTCTTTATTCTTTAACGTTTACTCTGTGTCCTCAGGTTCAATGTGAATAATCTTGTGAAGAAGATTTAGTTGCATTTTAAATATTTTCTTAGAGTCACTGTATTCTCTTTGATAACTTTAGTTTACTTAAATTTGTTGATATTACTGATAATTTTGGACTTACCATTAATTTTGTGCTTTCTTATCTTTTTTCCTCTTTTATGTCTTACTTAAAATGCATCAAGTTTCTTTTTTCTTTTAAATCCATTATACCCCTTTGCCTACCTGGAAGATATTCATTCCGTCTGTATTTTTTGGCATGATTATAATTTAAAAATTTTTTTTTGTTTTTGTTTTTGTTTTTTTGAGTTGGAGTCTCACTCTGTCACCCAGACTGGAGTGCAGTGGCCACTCCTGGCCACCGCAGCCTCGACCTGCTGGGCTCCAGCAATCCTTCCGCCTCAGCCTTCTGAGTAGCCGGAATTACAGGTGCACGCCACCATGCCCGGCTGATTTTTTGATTTATTGTAGAGATGAGGTCTCGCTTCCCAGGCGGGTCTCGAACCCGCGGGCTCAGGCAATCCACTCACCTCAGCCTCCCATAGGCGCAGGATTATAGACTGAGCCACCGAGCCCGGCTTATAATTAAAATTTTAACATGACTATAGAACTTAAAGTCTAGATAATAAAAACCTCTGTTATTTCCCAACAACGTATCGTAATGCTTTCAATTCAATTCTTGATCTCCCGTCTTATACATCATTTCTTTTTCTTTCTTTCTTTTGTTTTTTTGAGTTGGAGTCTCATTCCATCGCCTAGGCTGGAGTGCAGTGGCACGCTCACTGCCACCCCAGCATCGATCTGCTGGGCTCCAGTGATCCTTCCACCTCAGCCTTCCAAGAAGCCGGAACCACAGCTACCACGCCCAGCTAAATTTTTGTTTTATTTATTGTAGAGACAAGGTCTCGCCAAGTTGTTCGGGCTGGTCTCGAACCTGCAGGCTCAGGCAATCCACTGGCCTTGACCGTCCAAGGTGCTGGGATTACAGGCTGAGCCACCGAGCCCAGCCTTATACATCATTTCTAACAAACGCGTTAACCTTTCTTTTTCTGCCTCATGAAGATATGACATCATAAACACTCTTTTAACAATCCATATTTGTGCGGATTTGCCTATGGAGTGTCCTTTTGCTCGCTGTCTTATCTTGTATCTCAGATGTGCTCCACGTGCTCATTTTCTTTTATAGAAGGTCTGTAAGTTTATTTTATTCATGTAGAAATATCATCACCCTACAGTCACTGCTGAAGTATCAGCTGGGTACCAGGTCGAGAGCTGTTGTCTCTAGTCATTTCGACTATTTTGCTACCTCCCAGCTCCTGTTGTTTTGTTGACAAGTCTGTTCCTCTCTAGGTCATCTCTCTAATCTCTGGATGTTTTTCTGGCTTGCTATCTTTTGTCTTTGGTGTTTTGCTGCTTCACTATAGTCAGTCCAGTTGCAGAACACATCATGATTCCAGAATCAAGGCTTATATCTTTTGCCAGTACTGAAAAATTCTCTGTCTTTAATTCTTTATGTATCCTTTTCCTCAACTATTTATATTCATATTATCTCTCCCTCTCTTTCAATTAGATTTATAACAATTTCCTTTGATAATCTGTTTTTAATACTAATATCTTCTGCCTCTTTTATTTTATTTTTTTTAACTTTTGCCTAATTTTTTTTTAATTTTTAATTTTTATTTTAAGGATGGGTACAGTTTAGGATTAGATAGACAAATGGTCATCCTACAGGTAGATTTTGGGCCTCACTTTGGTCCCCACTTCACCTGGTTTAAGATCAGTTACCCTTTTCGATTAACTATGGTCTCCTCCCTCCTCTGGAAGTTTTCCTCTATTGCCAACCCCTTTTTAATGGTATTACGGGTAATTGTTCAGGGTCCGCTTATGAGTGAGAACAGGTGGTACTCAGTTCTTTGTTTCTGTGGTAGATCACTGAGTATTATAGACTCTAAATCCATCCAAGTTGCTGCAAAGTTCATAATTTTGTTCCTTCTTTATAGCTGCATAATATTCCATTGTGTATATGTACCACATTTAAAAAAAAAATCCAGTCCACTTTTGATGGTTCCATGTTCTTGTTACTGGGAACAATGCTGCAATAAACATACTTGTGCAGGTACCTTTTTTATAGAGTGATTTGAGATTTTCTGGGTATATTCACAGAAGGGGGATGGCTGAGTCATATGGAAAGTTGCTTTTCAGATTTTTT